GATAGATAGATAGATAGATAGATAGATAGATAGATAGATAGATAGATGATAATGCCTATTTTGATCAGTGACCAGATAAATAAAGGAGAGGTCAGGCAAAGTCTTTTTTGGAAAGATTAAATCAAGGTCTGAATCTTAGTGGCAGCTTCTCAGAAGCCTCCTAGAAAAATTTGTAGACAATAAATGGACAGTTATGTTAGATACAGAGTTGTGCAGTGGAGAGAATTTAGGACTAAGAAAAGAAGAAAGCTTAGGAAAATGCTTTGCTGGGCCATTGGGTAATCTGGAACTCAGCCACTCTATCTCCGTAGAGTGTAAGGAAATGGAGAGATGCAAGCCCTGTTGCCAAAGCAACCAGGGGTAAAACATCTTTTTGGTCCACAACTGTGAAATAGCATTTGGAAGTGCATTGGACAGATCCTACCCTAATTTGGAGGAGGAGGAAATGTTCAGTTACTTATAAGACAAGAGTCATAAGTTCTAGATCACGTGTGATTTTTCTCAAAAGGAAGAGGAGGAGGAGGGAAAAAAATATAACCAGACTTTTAAGATCCTGTTATATCCAAACTCAGTGGAAGTCACTGTAGCCTTCCTGTGAAATTGATGGATTGCTCTGGTCTGTCCAATGGATCTGATAATGTCAACCTATCTGAGGATTACTGGGAAGATCAACTACAGCGGAAGAAGAAACAACCATAGATTTCATCTTGAGCTCTCAGACAATAGGCAGACTATAAACGCTATTAAAACTCCACAAATGCATCATCTAGCTGGACAGCTTTCAAAATACTAAGAAAGGAAGGAGCTCAGTGTTGTGCCTTAATCTGGATTCCCTGCTAGGTCTTCACATACGTTAGCTCAATGTTTATACTTCATTTTTCAAGTTTAAAGAAAAACAAAAACCAAAAACCCAAAAGATTTCTTCCTTTCCTTAAACTCCCTCATCCCCATAAAGAAAGAGCCCCATCAACTTTTCCTTCGATCCCAATTAATTGAAACGGAAAATGTGATCAATTTCATTTCAATTTCCTTTCCCTTTTCAATGAACCAATGCTGAGAAAAACGTCATTTGGGATGCATGGTTTAAACCAGGGCTCTCCAGCCTTGGCAACTTTAAGCCTAGGAGGACTTGGCTGGTTGGGGAATTCTGGGAGTTGAAGTCCTCCAGGCTTACAGTTGCCAAGGTTGGAGACTCCTGGTTTAAACAAAGTATGTCAGCACATACAGAAAAGTGGGAGAGATTGGATTGTGTGTGAAGAAAGACTGAATTCGTGAAGAGTCCAAGAATGAAAAACATTCTGAATGTGGAAAGGAGATCAGAAAATGGGAAGAGATGTGCAAGGAGAGGAAATGGAATTAAATGTGAATGCAATGAAAGAATTTGGGTGGAACTGAAGTGAAGGGATGCTGAAAGGAGAAGCTTAGAGATGTTTGTATCAGTGACAGTGATATGTTACAAAGTGGATAGGAAGCCAATGGTATGAAGGTAAGGTTCCTTGGTGAATGTGTCTGGGAAGAAAACCACCAGGCTTGGTCACTGGAAGGAAACAGATTTGATGGAAGACCAAACCCACGAGGATACTAGGGGTGCATCGGAGAGGGTTTGGCAAGAACCAATCAACCAATCAGAAAATAGGGCTGGAAGGGACCTTGGAGGTCTTGTAGTCCAATCCCCTGCTCAAGCCGGAGACTCTTACAGAATCCCCGAGTTGGAAGGGACCTGGGAGGTCTTCACTGAATACATTGAAATGGTTGGGTCGAGGGGAAGGAGGGGATTAAGAAAGGTGCGGCTGGATGGAGCCGATACCCTGGAAAAGAGCAAAGTTGAAATGTTGAAAGGACAAAGCAGCAGATGGAAGGTCGCCAAGGAGAGACATGTAGAGGTAGAATGGATGGGACGATGTGAATTAGCTGAGCTGTGTTTCTTTTCCATTCTCTTTTGTGTCTTTCATTGCTTTGGCTCAGATATATTTCATTCTTTCCTGGGCTTTGCCCATCCAAAGGACTTGTGTGATGGGTACGTCTCTACGGAAGCCCTCCTAAGCTTTGGACTTCCTCCCCAGCAGAGAGGGAATTAGAATTAGAATGAATGAGCTGGAAGGGACCTTGGAGGTCTTCTAGTCCAGCCCCCCCCCCCCCCCGCTTAAGGAGGAGAACTTATACCATTCCGGACAAGTAGCTGTCCAGTCTTGAAAACCTCCAGTGATGGAGCAGCCACAATTTCTGGAGGGAAGCTGTTCCACTGGTTAATTGTCCTCCCTGTTAGGAATTTTCTCCTTAATTCCAGGTTGCTTCTCTCCCTGATTAGTTTCCATCCGTTGTTGGAAGCCCTGGTGGTTTTGCAGTTGTCTTGGTCTATAGCCCTTAGATAGCTGTGGAGCTCTCCCCTCACAATCTGAGGGCATCAGAGGAGAGAGGGACCTCGTAGGTGTAATCTAGCAGGCCAAAACTTTCCTTTCCAGCATCCCACCATCTTTTTAACAGATGCTTGACTGCAAGAAAAGCTGACCATCCCTACTAATACATTTAGTTGAGTGTACAAAGGCTGATTTCTTATCCAGTCATTGTTTTAAACAGTTGGGAGCGTCCAAGCCAACCATGCTACATTCTGGGGTGCCATCAAAACTCAACGGATTCAGCCACAGGCATGCAATCAGCTTGGCTGCCATTTTGTTTCAGTTCCGGTTTTAAAGAAAAGGGGGGGAAAAGGTGCAGCTCTGAATGGGTTGGGTCCACCCCATGTCATCACGGCACCCAGTTTTCAAAGAAAGAGAAAAAGCAAGGTGTCAAATCAAGAGGGCCGACTAACAATGAAAGACACCACAGCAAGAAAAGTCACAGACAACATCAAGAAACAAGCAGCCAAATATTCTCCCTGGGTTGATGCAGCAAGAGTCCAAAAAAATAATAATCTCAAATTAAAGAGAAGGAAAACAAATGAAATGGAGAACAAGTAAATAAAAATTCCTTAAAGCAGACAATTGAATTTTTTTAAATCCCCCCCCCCACCTCCCCCCCAAAAATTCAATGAAACCAACCGTGTCCTATATGAGATGTTTTCACGGATGAATTGTGATTTGCAAGGATTTTTGAGTTTAGCATTATTATTTTTTAAAAAAAGATATTTATTTTGGAGCAGGAGACAGACAACAGACAGATGCAGACATGATGATTGTTTTTCGGTTTTTTTGGTATGTTGATTGAATGGCATGATTCAGCAGGAAAAGGGAAAACACACACAAACACAGAACAGAAACAGAAAGAAGAGAAAATGAGTCATTGGCTGTAGCAAAGAACAGAAAGACGAACGATCGTATTAGAGAGTGGGAGAATAAAAATTAGAGGTTTATAAAAAGAAGTGATATTTTTTTTCTAACAATGACCAACCCTGGAAAGAAACACAGTGAGGCAAATTATTTGCATTTCACATTGTAATGCAAATTCATGGAGGTTTCGTAAGCACCTTGATTTGTCTTTTTTTTTTAAATTCCCAGGCAAAGCAAAAAATGCCAGTTTCACAGTTTTCTGTTCAAAAAGGGAAAGTGAATTTAGCAACCCCCTTTAAGGGTCTTGCAAGATGAATCAGAAATTAGCAATAGCCACAGACTTATATACCGCTTCACAGTGCTTACAGCGCTCTCTAAGTGGTTTTACAGAGTCACCTTCTTGCCCCTAACAATCTGGGTCCTCATTTTACCCAACTCGGAAGGAGGGAAGGCTGAGTCAACCTTGAGCCTGGTGAGATTCGAACTGCCAAACTGCAGGCAGCCAGCAGTCAGCAGGAGGAGCCTGCAGTACTGCACTCTGACCACTGTGCTACCAAAAAACTAAACTCCTATAAACTCAAAGATGTCACTTGTATCATGTGCATTTTAAAAAAAACCACTTCTATTTTTAATCCATCCATTCAAATCTTCCTGGCTGTCTGATCTGACGATTAAGCTTATAACCTTAGCCATTGAAGGGGGGGAAATATCAGGTCTTCCCTGATGATGCAAGAGTTTATGTTTGTAAGGTGGGAAGAAAAACTGACATGGTTGTATTTGCCTGCAGAAGTTTTAAAAAAAAAATGACCACAGAGAGCAAGAAAGAGAAGAATTGGGAGCATTGGCCAAAGAAACCTGTACACCACACAGCGACAGAATCAAAGGAAAATGAAGTTCGTTTACGTGTTTTATTTACTCTTTATCCATTGGTTCTGTTGATGGCTAAACATCTCATAGGTGTAGAGGATAAAGGTCTAGAACCAGGTGGGAAAGGGGGAAAATATGGAGGAAGTCCCTACTTCTGGATTTCGGGGGGGGGGGGAATGCCCCACCCTCCAGAAGTTTCCTTTGATTAGCTCCTGTAGGAGAAGAGCAGACAGAGCTGGGAGGTGGAGTTAAACAGACCATTAGCTTAGAGTTGTTGCGTTCCCACAAGCACTCTAAGTCTAACTCCTTCTGAATTCCCCACCATCCTTATCTGGTGCCAATTTAGTGTTGAACTTAAATCTTCTATGCTGCAACCTAACGGATGTTCTGATTCCTTGTGCCTGCTAGCTCCTTTTGAATTGCATGGACCCACATCCAGGCAATCAAGAAGTCTGACACCGGGGCAAAGCTATGGATTAGCAGCTGGGATCTGCTCTGGATGACGACTCTGTTAGGGAGGTCTGAAAAAGCTCCATTGAATTACTAGACATCTTATTACTGATGTTGTGATTCCTTCCATTGACAGCAACCGCATAGCTCAGTCCAGAAAGCAAAAAGCAGAGATTCTGGTTGCAATAAGATTTATAACCAAACCTGCCATGTGACTGAATCAAGTCATGACCTCCCTGAAGAATCCACACATTACATGAAACTTGATAGGGAGTGGCTCTGATTGTCAAGCAACTCCATCTGGTCTGCTTACATTACAGGTCGGCATTGCACAAACTCAGAACATGAATTAATTCAGTAACCTCGGGCCACATCTTGCACGGATATAGCCAAGACCAAGCTGTCATTACACGGAGGGCAGAAGGAAGAAGCAACGATAATAAACCTCGGTGTCAAAGGCTGCTCACAGGGTCAGGAAGAAAAAGCTTAATGAGATTTAAATTAATTCAAACAGTATCCAACCCATTGGATGTGATTAATGCAGCCGTTTGGTGACATTTGAGTCTTTCTCTCGTGTCAAACATTATAATCTGCAGAAGAGGCAGCAAGAATTATGGCTTTCGGGAAAGAATTTGCAAATATGGTTGACCACCCGAGTGGAATGATCTATTGCCACTGGATACCAGCAGAAACAAATTTGAGTATGTGGATATTTAATTAATTCTTTGGCATTGTACATAGTGTCCCTGTGAACAACCCTTTTCAGTTGTAAAAAATTGACTGGGCATCCCTTGCCACCAACGCCTTAAAGTTTCCAAAAGATATACAAACTTGACCTTGACAAGAGAAGAACCTTAGGACACAATTCAAGTTGTCCAAATATCCCCTCTCAAGTGTGGACTTGACATGGACTGGGATGTATTTTCTTAGAAGCCTCTAAAGTGGCTCCAGCGAAGCTGGAGGTCAGTCATGGGACTTAGCCCAGAGTGGGAACCACGGTTTCCTTGCTTTCTCCCAACAAGGAGAAAGGCCAGAAGTCCCAACTTGGAGTCAGCTTGGAAAAAGAAACAAGAGAGTTCAAACAAGTCATCAAACCCTGACCTTCTTGTTTCTTCCTGGGAGCATGGGAACCCTGACACTTCAGAGGCTGCTGAACCATGGTAGGAGACCCAGACATCCTGGCCAATGTTCAGTGTTCACGCTGTCCTCCTGGTGTCATTTAGAAACATCTGGAGGACAACGTGTTGCCCAACATCTTAAGTGATAGATGTTGACCATAATTAATAATGCCAAGCATGACAGACCCAAAATCAGGAGCTCTGCAAAATCCCTTTGAAGTCACAAAAGGTCACAAAACCTAAATATGGGGCAAGATAGGAGAATTAGAAGGTCTCATAACATTTGTTCTCTTCTGAAGCAGTTCAAGATGTATCTTCATCACTTACCCATCTCAATATTAGCTTTAGTTCTCCAAAATTTACAATTCCCCAAGAGGTCTATCCAAAAGATTCTCTAGATCCGTCCCTTTTTTTAAAAAAAAACATGGTTTGCTAAAGAAAAACAAATCTCCAGTTGGTACTCACCGCAATCTCTGTGACTAAAATATCAGTAATACTTCCCAAAACTGTGACAAAATCAAAAATGTTCCAGGCATCACGAAAATAATTCTGTAAGAGACAAGGGAAGATTCTTCAGATCCCATTCAAAGCTCTTGACCAAAATGAAGCAATAATGGAATGATACAGAATTCAGAAGTAGACCTACTTGGAAGCAAGGTGGGAAACTGAGTCTCTTCAATATCCAAGGAGGAATAGGATAGGATAGGATAGGATAGGATAGGATAGAATAGAATAGAATAGAATAGAATAGAATAGAATAGAATAGAATAGAATAGAATAGAATAGAATAGAATACAGAGTAGAGAATATAATAGAGAATACAGAATTAAATAGAGAATAGAGGAGAGGAGAAGAGAATAGAATACAGAATACAGAATAGAATAGAACAGAATAGAATAGGAATAGAATAATTTGGAAATGAATATGGAAAGTGAGAACTTCAATTTAAAAGCGAGAACTTGACTTTGACAGTGATGACATAAAGCTCGTACCAATGCACCAAAGGCGATGATCTTCAAGATACATTCCAGTGAAAACATGGAGGTGAAGACAATATTGAGGCATTTCAGCATATCTTCATAGGGTTCGGGGGCACCATAGAACTAAATTAAAGAAGGGGGAGTGGAAGAAAAGTCAAGTTGCAGCAAGCAGAAAAATAAGTCAAGAGTCCTCATGAATTACCCCGGATGTTGCTAACCTTCATCATAAGCACGATGGTATTCAGCGCAATCAGGACCATGATAAAGTACTCAAAAGGAAGAGACACCACAAATTTCCACATCCTGTACTGGAATGACTGTTTGTTTTGGGGCATGTAGCGGGTTAAAGGCTTGGCACTAATGGCAAAATCTATGCAGGCTCTCTGCAAGGGAAGAAAAACAGCAACACGAAGAGAAAAAGTCACAAGAGCACAACCTTACTTCTCCCTCCTCCTCCTCCTCCTCCTCCTTCTCCTGAATGGTCTTCTTCCAGGCCATCAGTTCTCTGGGCTTGCAATTACAGCAAATAGCTGGTTACACATTTCATATCACGATCCGATCAGCCTTGAGATGTTAGCTGATCTCTACAGCTGGACCAAGAGCATGGGTGAAGCAAAAAATATCCTGGAAACTGGGTGAGATTCTCTTCCCCAAAATGGTCTGAAACCTTTTACCACTCATTGTTCAACTCAACTGCATAATCCTAGCGAATCAGAGCAAGTACCTCATTTTTCTCCAGGCTGCATTCAGACATCACTTTGTCACCCTGTTCTTGGAAGGTGATGATGATCAAAGCTACAAAGATATTCACAAAGAAAAATGGGAAGACGACAAAATAGACGACGTAAAAGATCGACATCTCCATCCGGTAGCCAGGACTTGGGCCTTGGTTTTCATATGTTGCATCCACAGAGTGCTTCAAAACACTGCAAACGGAAGGGAAGGAAGGAAGGAAGGAAGGAAAGAAAGAAAAGAAGAAAGAAAGGTGGAAAGAAAGAGGAGAGAAAGATAGAAAGAAGGAAGGAAGGAAGGAAGGAAGGAAGGAAGGAAGGAAGGAAAGAAAGAAAGAAAGAAAGAAAGAAAGAAAGAAAGAAAGAAAGAAAGAAAGAAAGAAAGAAAGAAAGAAAGAAAGAAAGAAAGAAAGAAAGAGATAAGATCAAGGTAAGGCTTCAAATCCACAAAAACACAGGGAAAGTTTTCTCACTCTTTACAAGACTGCCATTAGGAATAAAGCCAAGGATGGCCAAGGATGCAAACTCACGTGGGCCACCCTTCTCCAGTGGAGACTGTGAACAGGGTCAACAGAGCCCAGAGAACGTTGTCATAATGGAAATCATACTTCTTCCACTGCCTGGGCTGAGCTTCCACTTCATCCTTTTCGTAAGCCAGGTACTGGCCTCTAGAAGAGACAAAACAGGGTGTTTAAAACAAGCCACATATCCAAGTCTGTCAAAACTGAGATTTGTTTCTCTCAACAGTTTTTTTTGCAAGCAATGCCCTGATTAAAATTATTGGTGCAGCTCACACAGGCATAGAGAACTGCAACACCTCCTCAATCTGAATTATTTGGGAATTGAAAATGCCCCTTTTTAGTGCCAAGGACTCTGCTTCAAACCCCAAACAAACTTTTTTCAAAAACAACCTGGAACTAAGGAGGAAATTCCTGGCAGTGAGGAGGACAATTGACCAGTGGATTCACTTGCCTCCAGAGGTTGTGGTTGCTCCATATTTGGAGGCTTTTATGAAGAAATTGGACAACGATTTGTCTCAAATTGTATCAACTATGGTTTCCTGCCTGAGCAGGTGGGGTTGGACTAGAAGACCTCCAAGGTCCCTTCCAACTCTGTTATTCTGTTATGAAAAGTCCTGGAGTACTTAATCTTTGTAGGACTTGCTTTAATAAAGGTTTGGTCACCCCCACCCCCGCCTTTAGAAAATTGAATATATCCTCTGGCTACATGGAGACCTGGAAGCCTTTGCATCCACTCCACTCCGGCCCTGCCCTAACCTGCCATTAGATTGGGGCACCTGCAGTCTTTCTCCAAGTCCTTCGATTCGTCGGTGCAGTAGAAGAACCGGCCCTTGAAAAGCTGCACTGCGATGACGGCGAAGATAAACATGAAGAGCATGTAGACGATGAGGATGTTGAGAACGTTCTTCAGGGAGTTTACCACGCAGTCGAAGACTGCCTGTGCCAAAGGGAGCAAAAAGACCGTTTCAGAATCAGAAAAATCAAGCTCAGATTTCCAACTTACCATTCCTCTTAAGCAGGGATGGGATTCTACCGGTTCGCTCCGAGGATCAGCCCACCTGCCTGGCCCGGCTCTATCCGGTGCTGTATATCCTGGTTCTGAAGCGCAGCTGGCTGGCGTGGCACCGTGGATTGCTGCGCATCAGCTATTTAACTCACAAAGATTGCCGGAGAAGGTCAGGAGCAAACACTCTGCGTGCACGCAAAGGACGCAGTCACCGAACCAGTTGTTACACCGGTTGAGTCGCACCCCTGGTCTTAAGTCAGTAGTACGTTTCCGCAGCTGTTGTTGCCTTACCTTCAGTTTGGGTAGACGTTTGATGGTTTTCAGTGGCCGAAGGACCCGTAGCACGCGGAGGGACTTAATGGTGTTAATATCCTTCCCTTTGTTCCCTCTGCAGTAAAAAATAAAAAATCATGACATCAAGAAGAGGATTTGGTCCTGGCCCAACTCACTTCAAAGTTCTCACTGCTAGGAAAATATATAACATTCCCCCCCAATCTACTATATTTTCCTTTTCCCCTCTCTTTGCAGCACCCCAAAATGCAACATCTTCTCTTCTCTCGTGGATAATATGGCATGGAAATCAAGCACAGCTCAAAAACACCATTGCAAGATTCCAGGCTTTTGATTTCTGTTAACCCTGGAAAAAGTTTCTTTGTTTTCATGCTGGTATCCACTTCCACCCCAGTTGCAAACGGCCCAGCCAACAAATGCAAGATGCTGTAATGGTTGACAAACATTTCATCAAATGACATAAAACTGCACTCAATTTTATCTCATTCGGGTGATTGAATCAAGCTCGGGAGCTCAAGAAGGGGCGGCTTGCTCAGAGATTGTCGCTGTTCTTATTCGTTGCCTTAAATAAGCCCTTGTTTTGCATACGTGGCCATATAGGTCTCCTTGCTACCCGAACTGCAGAAAGTCTGTAAAATTGTTTCTCCCAGAGACAGAGAGGAACGTCACCCCACAGTTTCAGAGTGGCAATGGACAGCAAGATTGAGGCATTCTGAGAATGGAGTGGGACCATTCACCATGGCCAACTCGCCAGGGGTACAATTTCACAATTCAATTTAATTATTCCAAATAAATAAATAAATAAAATTTATTTTTTGCCATTTGCATTTCATTTTGTCCCTCCTTTTGCATCCGTCCTTTAATAGCAATAGCATTTAGACTTATATACCGCTTCACTGTGCTTTACCACCCTCTCTAAGTAGTTTACAGAGTTAGCATATTTCCCCCCAACAATCTGGGTCCTCTTTTTACCAACTTTGGAAGGCTGGAAGGCTGAGTCAACCTTGAGCTGATGAGGATCGAACTCATGGCAGTGGGCAGAGTTATTCTGCAATACTGCATTCTAACTACTATGCCACCATGGCAAGGAAGGAAGGAAGGAAGGAAGGAAGGAGAAAAGGGAGGGAGAGAAGGAAGGCAAGGCAAGGAAGAAAGTAACAACAATAGTTCTTCTATACCGCTTCCCAATGCTTTACAGCCCTCTCTAAAGTGGTTTATAGAGTCAGCCTATTGCCCCCAACAATCTGGGTCCTCATTTTACCTGCCTCAGAAGGATGGAAGGCTGAGTCAACCTATCCCACCATTTCTTTGAGATTAGTATAATTCTTGTCCTGCAGCGAGTTGGCTATGGTGAGTTGGCCGTGGCAAAATGTCATAGGCCCTTTCAGCAAAGAGGTCCAAGGTTCATCCTTGGTAACGACCCCCCCCAAATCAGCTTGCGCCCATTAGAAGCTAATGAAGCACATAGCCTTCCTTAATGGAAGCCTATAGAGGTGAAATTATTATGAAATAAAAACTAACGCCATTCCAGCTAGAAACATTTAGCGGCAAAGTAGGGTGAAGAGCATCGCCAATTGACCCCTTGACAAAGAGCTGGTGTTTCGTTGAGAAAGAGAAACACGGGTAGTCCTCGACTTATGACCACAAGTGAGCCGCATTTGTCCATTGCTAAGCGAGACAGTGGTGAAGTCAGTTTTTGCCCCTTTTTACGACCTTTCTTGCCACCATTGCTCAGTGAATCACCACAGTTGTTCAGTTAGCAACACAGTTGGTTAAGTGAATCTGTCTTGCCCATTGACTTGTGCTAGGCCAGGCCAGAATAGAATAGAATAGAATATAGGAAATAGAATGGAGTGGAGTGGAGCGGAGCAGAGCAGAATAGAAATAGCACTTAGAGTTACATACTGCTTCACAGGGCTTTTACGGCCCTCTCTAAGTGGTTTACAGAGTCAGCATATTTCCCCCCAGCAATCTGGGTCCTCATTTTACTGACCTCGGAAGGATTGAAGGCTGAGTCAACCTTGAGCTAGTCAGGATCGAACTCCTGGGAGTTGGCAGAGTTTGCCTGCAATGCTGCATTCTAACCACTGTGCCACTGCAGCTCTAGTTCTTGTAACTTTGAATGGCCACTGAATGGCCACTGTGGTGAGTCGAGGACCACCGTAAGCTCCTCCTTGGCAAAGACCACCCCCTCCGGCCCCAGCTGAACAACCTCAGCTCCAATCTCATCTCGCCAAGGTTCCCCAAGGGCCACCTCGGATTACATTCCGCTCAAACCATGCTGGGCCATGGAATCGACCCACGGCTTGCGTGCCGGTCATGAGAAGCAGCGCCAAGATGCTGGTGCCAGTCATGCAGAAGAATGGATTTCAAGAAATGGGCGTGATGGTGAGATGAGGAAGACTTCAGAGGTGGAATACAGAACAACAGAGTTGGAAGGGACCTTGTCGGTCATCTAGTCCAACCCCCCTCCGCCCAAGCAGGAGACCCTACACCATTTCTGACAGACGGCAGTCCAGCCTCTTCTTGAAAGTCTCAGGTGATGGCGCTCCCACAACTTCTGAGGGCAAGAATACAATGGGATTTTTTTCTATGCTCTGACCCAAATTGGAACACATTCTCAGCTTCAGAATGTGAATCACATCCTTATTTATCCAGTAAATTAAAATAAAGAAAATTTCTACATTGGAAATAGGAGACAGGACGTTTTTCCTCCCCAGCTGCCTTAGAAAAGGATGCCTGGAAAACCTTTCTTTTAGCTCAAAAAAGGGAGAAAGAATCCACACATATATATATGAATGGTACACAGTGAGACAGGCCTATATTCATACCGCTGGTTATAGCTGTACACAAACCTCTGGACACACTGACAAGATTTCCCCTCCCTTCTGAAATTTTGGTACAACTTCAAGTCCTAGGAAGGGAAAGTTAGTCATTCTCTGGACTTCCCCGATTTTCTTTAAATTTCTGTTCTTGCAACATCTAAAAATGTTGAAGAAACCTGAACACCCGGTGCTGGGGGGGGGGGGGGGGGTCTGGCTTGAAATAATTCTGCATTAGTTGGGTCTCCTAATAAGGCCAATTTTTTAAAAGGGTCCCCCAAAGAATCTTTTCCAAAAGGCAACTGGACTTTCTTGTGTGTTTTTTTTCCCTGAAAAGGCTTCACTTCTCATCCAAGAAGCTTCTTCAGTTGAGAAGTGAAGAAGCTTCTTGGATGAGAAGCGAAACATTTCCAAGGAAAGTTGGATTGCCTTTGGAAAAGCACCTTTGGGACAATTATGGTGTCCACGGAGATTGTCATTCCTCCCGATCATTTTTTTTCCAAGAGGCAACCTGACTTTCTTTGTTTTTCCTTGAAGATGTTTCACTTCTCATCCAAGAAGCTTCTTCCGTTCTGAAGAACTGAACGGAAGAAGCTTCTGAGATGAGAAGCAAAACATCTTCAAGGAAAAACAAAGAAAGTCCGGTTGCCTTTTGGAAAAAAAAAAGCATCTGTGGGAGAATCTCCAGACTTTCTTAAAAGGGATATTTCTTGATCATACCCAGTAACCATGAATCACGGTCAGCCGAAAGACTAGACCTGCCTCTGAGTTTCTTGTTTCTGCATCGAGAAGGTTCAATGGTTGTTAAAACCAAGTTTTCAAAGAAAGGAGCAGAGGATGCCCCATTGGTAAGTCATGGTGGGACCAAGACAAGAAGAAAGGGCAGGACTCTTTCATGCCACCCTACCCCCCCAACCAGACCACCTGCAGACTGGAGACTATTAACATTAACATAGTTTAACAGAGTTGGAAGGGACCTTGTAGGTCATCTAGTCCAACCCCCCTCCGCCCAAGCAGGAGACCCTCCACCATTGCTGACAGACGGGACTCCAGTCTCTTCTTGAAAGCTTCCAGGGATGAAGCTCCCACAACTTCTGTTCCATGGGTTGATTGCTCTCCCTGTCAGAAAATTCCTCCTTATTTCCAGGTTGAATCTCTCCTTGAATCAGTTTCCATCCGCTATTCCTTGTCCTGCCTTCAGGTGCTTTGGAGAATAGCTTGACCCCCTCCTCCTCTCTGTGGCAGCCCCTCAAATATTGGAAGGCTGCTATCCTGTTTCCCCTGGTCCTTCCCTTCCCTAGACCAGCCAGGCCCAGTTCCTGCCACCATTCTTCACGTGTTTCAGCCTCCAGTCCCCTCATTATCCTGGTTGCTCTTCTCTGCCCTCTTTCTAGACTCTAGGTTGCCCCTTCCTAATTTGGAGAAAATGAGCTCTTCAAGCTTTTCACCAGATATTAGATTGTGATCCCTTTGGAATTATGGAAGCAGTAATAGCATGTTTTATACCTGCAAGTTTAATGCGTTTTTATTATACCATTTTATGTGAGATATAACATAAACATGGCTCAGATGACTTATTCAGGTTAAATGTAAAGAAATGAAGTAGCTGGGATGTTTTTCCCCGGTTCATGTTCACACTAATTAATATTTATTATGTCCTAGGTGTTGTATCAAATTGTTTATCTGATATGCAGAATAGTATTTATCTAAAATATGCTATTAAATTCAATATAAATTGATCCCATGATAAATTTCTCCCCAGCTATAAGAAATGCTGTGTAAAATTCTGTCTCTCGCTTAGTTGTAGGGGGGAAAGGAGGGTGTACAGGTAGGATTATTTTGATTAGTAGCTAACATAGAAGATAGCATTTGTTTTCCTACACTTGAAAATAATTGTTTTATCTTCCAGCTAAAGAAGGAATCTGGCAGTTTGCTCTTGCGTTTCATTTACATTTCGGCTGTACTATTCTTCTAGAATTGATAATTTTCATTAACTTGTATGTGTTGAAATCAAATAAAAGCTTCCATACACATTACAAGATATAAATGCACTGGATTCTAAAAAAAAATATGAAATGAAACCCAAGATGGGTGAGAGCAGCCAATGGGATGGTTGTAACATGAACGGAGAAGAAGGTTTTGGGCATCTGCAGGCAGGCAATAACAAGGCCACAAGGGAGAGCAATAATGTATTACCCAATGAAACTCCTACAAAGACGATCCCAGTGAAAGGAAGACACAAAAAAGAGCAGAGTCAGCCACAAGGAAGACAATAATCCAAACAACAACCCCAGAACACACACAATGGTTGTGTTTCAAGGAAAGACACTCCTCTACTCCTGTCCTTTGATGCGGGGACAAATAGATGAGAGTTTGGAGTCCAGGCATATGCATCCTTCTGGGTAAAGAGGAAAAGTAAAACAATGAACGCTTGTGTTCATTATCCCCAAAATGACACATTTCCCCCCTATTTTTTATATCCTGGTCACTTTCAATCTGACTTTAAGAGTCCTGGTGCAGGGTTGGGAGATTAAAGTGAAGAGTGGGTTCAAAGCGAAGAGATTCAACCACCCCATTGGTTCAAGCCTTTGAAATAATTCCCAATTTCCCAAACAAGTTGTGTCTCACAAGTGTTTTCCCTCCATTGGGGCAGAAAAGATGAAGTAGAAACTACTGTGAATGTTCTGAAGTAGACTGCATTTCTACTTCAAATAGTAAGTTTTCTTATAGCCCAGATTAGGAAAGATCAACTCCAAAGCAAACATTAGTTCTCTTCACCCAAAACAATTGAGATAGTCAACAACAAATCTTGTGTCTGTAAAATGTCCTAAACTTGGTTAGTTTTACCTTGGCTGTTTTTCCCCTACAAACCCAGCCCAACCCTGAGTGAGTTTGTGATTCAACAAACGGTAGTGTGCAAACCAAGAATTTCATTCATTCAGCAAATGGACCCAGAATATTGCAGAAAACCAGTGAGATGAAAAAGAAAAAAAAAGTTATAGGAAAGGGAATTTTTTGCAGATGTCCACGGGAATTGGATTCTGATGGCCGGAAAAACTGACTCCATCGTAGCACTCCATCGCCGAACAGAATAAAAACATTTGACTGAGAAGGATTGATCCCCAAAAGGATATTTAGATATTATAAATAGTTTGTGACAGAATTATTAAGTGGCTTACAATTACAAGGTGCTCCAGGAAGCATAAAAAGGGAGGGAGAGGGAGGGAGAGGGAGAGGGAGAGGGGGAGAGAGAGAGAGAGAGAGAGAGAGAGAGAGAGCGCTGGAGGCACTAAGCTATTATCATGATTGTCATGGATGGGACTTTGGCATGTTTCCTAAGCTATAAGTACCAGCAAGTCCAATTCCCGCTTTAGTTTGTGTTAAAAGAAGGACATGATTCCCCTTCCAGTTGTATCCAACTCTAGGTGGGCAGGGTTCATCTCTCTTTCAAGGCTGAAGGAGCCAGCGTTATCTGAAGACAATTTTGTGTGGCTGGCATGTTATACAGAATGCTGTTATCTTGTCATCAAAGTGGTACCTATTAATCTACTTGCATTTGAATGCTTTCGAACTGCTCGGTGGGCAGGAGCTGAGCTGAGGACAGGAACTCACCCAGTCTCACAGCGTTGAGTCTCAAACCCAGGCTGTCAGTCAGCTTTCCAGCTGACAAGCTTAGCGTCTTTAATGCACCCTCACCAAAGGATGCTAATGGTAGATGATCTGCTTAACTTCCATTGAAGGAATCCCTTCCGGCTCACTGAACTCAAGCGAGAACTTCTAGGTAATGAGGGCAGTCAATTCCCCACCCCCACCCCACCCCCCACCCCCAAGCACAGCATCGCTCTGCTTTCCACTTCAGGAAATCAGAGCTCAGGAAGAAAAGCTACTTACGAAAAGGCAAATGCCACAAGAGCTCCACTGACCACAATGAAGTCGAGGATGTTCCAGAGATCGCGGAAATAGGCACCAGGATGCAGCAGAAGTCCCAAGTCAATCATCTTCAGAAAGGGGGGGGAGAGGGGGGGTGAAGGACCCAGGGAGGGGAGAAAGGAGAGAAAGGTAGATGTCACTATTGTTTTTAGTAGTTTGATGGACTTCACGTAGCACTGATGATGTTAGCTATTTGGGTCATGTCATGTCTGCAAGAAAACCACCAAACTCAGAGAGCAGCAAGGAACCTACAGCCTTCTTCCTCCTCCTCCTCCTGCTCCTCTTCTCGCAAACTCCCTTCTCTTCTAGCACTGATAATGTTATCTACTTGGGTATTGAAACATTTGCAAGAAAATAACCATGTCCAAAGAGCACCAAGGAACCCATAACCTTCCTCCTCCTCCTCCTCCCTCCAAACTCCTTTCCCTTCTAGCACTGATGATATTATCTAGTTGGATAATGAGACATCTGCAAGAAAACAGCCAAGCTCAGAGAGCACCAGGGACCTCTCATTTAAACCCTGAGCTACAAATATTCTTTATTGGTTTATGTGTATTCTTGCACGTCCTCAAAAATCCACATGGATTTCACAGGATACAGTTGTTATAAGTATGCAAATAAGTGGTCCAATGTCGTGCTTGTGTATTGTTCCTTTGTAGACATGCTCCTAAGAGATCTTGAGAAAGATTCTTACCTTTATCACCATCTCAAAGGTAAAGACACCTGTAAATATATAATCCAGGTACTTGAGAGCCTGAAAAGAGAAGGAGCAGTTAAAAAGTTAAAAAGAGCCAAAGTAAATTGAATCCAAAGAACACATACATTATGTATGGGGAAAAAAATCACAGAGATTCCTTCTACTAGGGTGTTTTACCATCTGGTTTGCTCTAAGATCTGAGACGTGCTTCAGTCTTGAAGGCTCAGGTTAGGAACTGGTCTTTGAAGCAATTGGTAGCTGTGGTGACGCAGTGGTTAGAAAGCAGAATTGCAGGCTAATTCTGCTGACTGCCACCAGTTCAATCTTGACTCAAGGTTGACTGAGCCTTCCAAGACCTTTCTGAGGTCAGTAAAATGAGGAATGAGGTTGTTGGGGGAAATAAGCTGACTGTGTAAACGGCTTAGAGAGGCCTGTAAGGCACTGGGAAGTGGTATATAAGTCTAACTGTTGTTGCTAATGCTATTGGTACCCACTGGTGCTTGGTCAGGGATTCTAGGCAGAAGCCCCTTTTGGAAAACAAGCAACCGGCCATCCTTTGTAAGCTGCCCATGAAGATCTGGGGAGGCTTCCCTATCGTCTAGGAAATGGTGATATGCACTGAAGAGGAACTGGATCCCCTTTCAGATCCATATTTGGTGGCCTGGTTGTCTTGGCAAGAGGAATCGGTTCCATCTCCATCCCACACTCAAGTGACAGAAAACTGCAGGTCGAGTGCCTGAAAACAGGGACCCAAGAAACATGTAGAAGAAGGCAAGGTGGAGAGCCGTGGTGGCGCAGTGGTTAGAATGCAGCATGGCAGACTACTTCTGCAGACTCCCAATTGCCAGAAGTTCAGCAGTTCGATCCTGACTGGCTCAAGGTTGACTCAGCCTTCCATCCTTCCAAGGTTGATAAAATGAGGACCCAGATTGTTGGGGGCAATAGCTTGACCCTGTAAACCACTTAGAGAGGGCTGTAAAAGCATTGAAGTGGTATATAAGTCTAAGGGCTATTGCTATTGCTATTCCATTCCATTCCACTCCACTCCACTCCACTTCACCTTACCCTATCCTAAGCAATATGCTTACTCTGTAAAGCACTTATAGAGTTTAGAAAGCAGTATATATGTCTTAAGTGCTATTGTTATCTTCAGCTCCACCCCAATGCAGAGACCTTCCTCCACAACTCATCCTGAACTCTCATCTCTCACCTCATTTCTGGGTGACTCTGCTTGAACAGGGTCTTCGGCGGCCAGGGCGATGCTGCTGAGTGCGATAACGAAGAGGATGACCATCTCGAAGTAACGCATGTTGACAATGTAGTGACAGAGGCACCGGATCCTGCAGAGGAGCCAAAGAGAGGAGTGAGAGAGGAAAGGTCAAGGAAGGTATGGCCACCACCCCACAGGGCCGCATCAAAGTGACCATGTTGCGAGGCTCTGGCAGAGCACCCAATGCGATGAAGGAGCTTCTGCCAACATGGTACAATGACTTCTTGAGATGTTTGCGTACCCCTTCCCTAACAAATCAATTCAGCCTGCACTCAACAAGGGGTTGGTCAAGAATCTGATGAGTTTGGTGATTGGTTGAAATGGCAGAACTCAGCAGGCCTTCCTGGCTGTGGAAAATTCCACCAGAAACCAGAAGCCTGTGAGTTAACTAAAGAAGGGTACTTGAGTCTTTTTTATAACTTCTAAACCTTATCTATTGTGTGCTACCTTCTTTGTATGTAACTAAGTCAAAATATGAAATCTCTCTCTCTCTCCCTCTCCCTCTCTCTCTGCCTCACACTGTGTTCGGAGTTCTTCCAACATAAGGGAGGACTCACCTTTGTTCAGAAGAATCAACGACTTTGGCTTATCAAGAGATGTCTCCTTCTTCCTACCAAGTCCCTCCTAAATCCCTGCCTAACAAGGGACGACTTACGGGTTGGTTGGGCTTAAGACGAACATGGAGCTGTAGGGAAGGATTGGTTTGGGTGTACTGTTGGCCATGTCGTCTTCAGCATCCATGTCCTTCTTCTCTTCCATTTTGGCTTCAAATTCAACGTTGTTCACTAAAGGGTTGACAAAGATAACACTACATCTCAAAATGAAAGTTTCTGAATAGGTTTGGAGCACAATATTTTGTTGCTGTGGCCCAGAACAAAATAGCCACTTCTGTTTTGTGAATAAACCTGCCTGAATTGGTCATTTCTTCAACCTATTTGTCCTCAAAGGCAACAAGACAAGTTACCAGGCCATCCTACCAATGGCCAGCTACTTACAGGTAGTCTCTGACCTACAACAGTTCATTTAGTGAACGTTCAAAGGTACAACAGCACTGAAAAAAAGTGACCATTTTTCGCAATTACAACTGTCAGTCACGTGATTTACATTCAGATGCTTGACAACTGACTCCCATTTATGATGGCTGCAATATCCCAGAGTCATGTTTAATTTCCCCTTTCATGACCTTCTGACCAGCAACATCCATGGGGAAACCAGATTCACTTAACGACCGTGTGACTCATTTAACTGCAGTGATTCACTTAACAAAGGTGGCGAGGAAAGTCACTTAACAAATTTCTCACTTAGCAACATAGCAATAGCCCTTAGACTTATATACCACTTCACAGTGCTTTACCTTTGTCTTTAAGCGGTTTGCAGAGTCACCCTGTTGCCCCCAACAATCTGGGTCCTCATTTTACCCAACTTGGAAGGAGGGAAGGCTGAGTCAACCTTGAGCCTGGTGACATTCGAACTGCCAAACTGCAGGCAGCTGGCAGTCAGCAGAAGGAGCCTGCAGTACTGCACTCTGACCACTGCGCCACCGAGGCTAATAAATCCTGGGCTCAAAAGAGCTTCTGGTGTTAGAAACACTCACTTGGTATGATGGAGGCCTCCCCGGGAGGAGAGGTGACAGTGACAGGAATGTGGACAGGGGCAGATCTGTCCAAAGATGGTTGAGCCATACGGGTCACGTTCTTCTGGTTGTCAGCATCCTCCGGCTGCTCAGGTACCCTCTGCAGACAGGTGCTGGGCAAGGTGTGTAAAGGGACCACGGTCACACTTATGCCTGCCTCGGTGTCACATTGGCTTTCCCTGGAGAGCGAGAATAAAGTTGGGAATGATCTCATTTCTTCCATCCAAATGTTTGGCTCACTGACTTTCTACAGCTTCTTAGTCCAGCAGGACGCAGACTTGAGGGATCTTTGGTGCTTTCTGAGCTGGGTTGTTTTCTTGCAGATGTTTTGTGACCCAACTAGGAAACATCATCAGTGCAAGAAAGGATTGGGTTTGGAGGAGGAGGAGGAGGACAACAACAACAACAACAACAGCTATTCTGGGGTTCCAGGTGCTCTCTGAGCATGGCTTTTTTCTTGCAGACATTTCATTATCCATCTAGGTAATATCCTCAGTGCTAAAAGGAATGGAGTTTGTATGGAGGGGGAGGAGATGATGACTGTGGGGTCCTCTGAGCTGGGTGGTTTTCTTGCAGGTCTTTCATTCCCCAACCAATGATGCTACCTAGCACTGATGATGTTACCTAGTTAGGTCAGGAAATGTCTGCAAGAAAACAACCAAGCTCAGAGACCACCAAGGAGCCCTCCTGTCCACCCTGAGCTGCAAATATTCTTCTTTATTGGTAGAACCTAAACTAAAATCTGCTGGGAGTCCCACCCCCCTCAACCCGCAATAATCATCAGCAGATTACAAGGGACTCGGATTCCCACTCCTGATTAGAAAATTAGACTTCCAGAGATTGTTGACCATCAGCTAGCATGACCATTAGGTGGTAAGAAAAAAAGTTCTAATTCCTCTGGAACATAATAGATGGCATTAACTGAAAATGACACCTTACGGTGATTTTGCGGCAAATTCGTATGTTTAAATGCTGCTTATCACAACAGGTGAACCTTCAGGGAGAAAATAGATTCCACCTCCTAAATCACAAGTCTGTGTTTGATGCCTAACATCTCCCCTGTACACACACACACACACACACACACACACACACAGACAGACAGACAGACAGAAAGACACACAGACAGACACACACACAGCCAATTGCTGCTTTGCACTTGACTCTGGCCAACCAGCCATTATTCTGCAGTTCACTGTGCTTGATGGATGTTGGCGTTCCAGACAGAAATTAAGCTGTCATTTTGAAAATACAGATGCTAGGTATGGTGGATGGGTAAATAAAAAGGAGTCATCTATGTGTGAGTTGAGCAGCTATATAAATTTGTTGAATAAGTAATCAAATAAATAATACAGAGAGAGAGAGACAGACAGACAGACAGACAGAGACAGAGAGACAGAAAAACAGAGAGAGAAAGAGAAAAAGAAGAAAGAAAAAGAAAGAGGGAGGAGGGATGTCTGGAGGATTACAGTTATGAATTCATAAGCTAGGAATGCAGATCAAAAGTGGCTTTGCAGTAACCCCTGAAAGGCTTGAAAATTATTCATCACCACAAGTTTTGCCAAAAATGCAGGCCAGGGATTTCAAATGGCAGCCCGTGGAGGAGGCCACGGTATTATAATTGTCACCTGGTGATTTTTGGCAACAGCCCTAGAATCCCCCCCCCCCCCCCCCTTTGATGACTGAGTACTCTTATTTCTCAGGAACTAATCTGGGGGGAAAAACACCACCCAGAATCTTTACAAGGAGTTTTACAAGTTCTCAAGGCTGGTCACATCCATTGTTATAAGCCCAAGCTCCCCACCCTCTCTCACATCCCATCCTCTATGGGCCCTTATGTAGTCAACTCACCTTGGCTGGATGTTCTTGAGATCCTTTTCCCCCAGCTCTCCTTCTTTCTCTCCGTTCTCCTTGTCCACCGACTCGTACGTGGAGAGGGCCTTGTGCCGTATCTTGTGACATCGGTGGGGCTCTTCGCCCCCCTCCCCTTTGGAGCCAGGGTCCCCTTCTTGGTTGCCTGCCCTTGACCCTCCTCGGTGACGTGAACGTCGTTCGGTCTTGGTCCCGTTGGCCGTTCCATTGCCTTCTTTGGCCTGGCGCTCCACCGGATGCCGGTGACCACGGTGGCGTCGATGTTCCCTCTCAGCGCCTTCTTCCATGGACCCCCGGCGGTGGTGATGTCTGCCTCCTTCCTGGCTTCGGTTGCGTTCGCTCTTCCCTTCCTTCCCACCCGCTTCGCCCGTCTCTTTGCTATGACTCCGGTGCGGCCGGTGGCGTTCATCCTTGTGGTTGCCCCTGCCCAGTTCGCCGTTCTCTTCCTTGACGGCACTGCTTTTCTCCATGTCTCCCGTCTTCTCCTTCTCACGATGCCGATGGTGTTTCCTCACAACCTCGTTGTTCTCAGGCAGTGGGGCCTTCACCTGGTCAGAGGCCTCCTGGCCCTCGGTGGGGCTCACGGTGTTGGCATTGCCGCTACGGCCTTCACTCCTTGGCTCAACCACCAGAGGCCGGTCCATGTGAGTTTTCATATCAGGACGGATATGGAGGTTGGTGGCGTAGCGGACCCTGTCTTCCGGGTCCATCTCGTTGTACAAGGCTTCGCAACTGGTGCGGAAGTTGTACACGCGGAGTTGACTGGTCCTCTGTTCCCACACGGATTTGGATTTGGAGGAATTCTGCTGTTTGCTGCAGAAGGGAGAGGCGGAGAGGAGCGTGGAAAGGGAAAGAGAAGAGAGGAGACAGGAGGAGAGGAACAGGGATTAGAGCTGGGGAAGGTACCATCGCATTGGACAAAGCCAACGATATGACTTTTCATCCGGGACTAGGTCTCTCAAAGTTGAGACAAAATATGGAGATTCTCAGTCATCCCGTCGTGGTTGTCCCAAAGGGGCTTTTTTTTTTCTTTTCCAAAACGCAACTTCTGAAATGTCTTTTTAAAGATGTTTCACTTCTCATCCAAGAAGTTTCTTCAGTTCTTCTAACTGAAGAGGCTTCTCGGATGAGAAGCGAAACGTCTTCAAGGAAAAAACAAAGTCCAAAAATCATCTTTGGGATATTGGCAGGGGTGAGTGGGTGGGGCCAAATGATTGCCAGAACTACCGGTTCAATCTCACCCCTGGATATTGGCCATAACAATGCCGAGATACGTTGAAACAGATTACTCCAATAGGAAAAGAAGAACACTAACTTTCCTCAAGCAGATCTGTGGAGTAAAGGAGACTATTTGTAGCGTAGGGCTGAAATGAAGGATCCTTGGTGGTTTTCTCATAGGTGTTTCATGACCCAAACTAGGGAACACCATCAGTGCTAGCAAGGATCCCCTTGTTTTGAGGATCAAAACATTCCTAGCACCCAGGGTTTAATGTAACGCCATGGACCAATTTCCCAGCTGCAGAAAACCTTCCTCTAACTCCTCTCTTCTTTGATGCAGATTTTTTTCTTTTTATCCCTGGGACTAAATCTCCCAGCAATGGAACCCCAATGGATCTACTCTCTCTTCACTCACTCTTCAATCATCGGAAAATATATAAAGTGGGAACACGCTTTAGCAGTGAAAATAAATTCTACTCCCAATGGAGGTTTGAAGAAAGTGTCATTTTCTCCCATGATAGCATGTCAGCTTTTCTGCTTTCTATCTCATGCTCAATTACATCTCACTTTCTGTCCCAAAAGAACAGCTGGAATCTGTTTTTTCCAAAAACAGGTATTTCAGCTACAGCTGGACTACAAAAGATTTTTAGAATCCTCCACTACTTTCTGTCTGTTGAAAGACTGAATAAAGACTCTTTCCAAACATCCGGGAAAGGAGAGATTTTTCCTGTCACTCCCACCTCCTCCTCCTCAGTATAACCCCATGACTGAAAAAGTACTTGGAGAAGTTATTTTGTGGGGTTACTATTGTGCTTAAACATGAAAAAGGAAAGACATCAAGGAATAGCAATCAAATTAGAATATACCAGAAAGATACATATTAAAAATCTAAGCAAGTCTTACTCTAAGGAATTCGTGGCATATCGTGATGAATTTCTAATCATCGTTATGAAATAACCCCTTTATGATTAAAAAAAAAGATACATTAAACCCTATCAAACCTACTCTTAGCAATGGAGAAGTAATTAAATTAATGGAATGATGGAAAGTATGAATGCCAGACTCTGTTCATCAATTTTTCAATGAGTTAACTAAATTTTATTCTGAGTAACAGGGACATAACAATGATTTCTCTTGCATAAATGCAAAGGAATTTTCCTGGCATCCATGTCTCCTTAGAAGGAGAGAAGGGGGATTTTCTGTTAAAAAGAATGACAGAATAAGAAGTCCCTTGGAGGTCTTCTAGTCCAACCCCCTGCTTAGGCAGGAAACCCTATACCACTTCAGACAAATGGTTATCCAATCTCTTTTTAAAGACTTCCAGTGTTGCAGCATTCACAACCTTTGGAGGCAAGTTGTTCCACGGATTAATTATTCTCACAGTCAGGAAATTCCTCCTTAATTCCAGGTTGCTTCTCTCCTTGATCAGTTTCCACCCGTTGCTTCTCCTCCTCCCTTCGGGGGCTTTGGAGAACAGCTTGGCTCCTCCCACTTCTTTGTGGCAACCCCTGAGATATTGGAAGACTGTTATCATGTCACACCTTTTCATTAAACTAGACCTGCCCAGTTCCTGCAACAGTTCTTCAGAATATTTTTTTTCTTGAAACCTGCAAGATTCGTGGATATGCTAGATTACCCTGTACCCAAAATTCTGGAAGGAAAACCATTGGTCACCCCATAACCGATGGGAGGGCGGGACCCAAATGTGTCTCTCTTGTTGAACTGAGTGACAAACACACACATCCCCCAGCATCCACACAAATTGTATCAATTTTTGCAAGCCGTTCAACAGATATCAAATCCTCAAAGCACGTTATACAATACAAACAAATACACGACAACAAAATTAAAACCTTGTAGGGACCCTATAAAAGATCAGCACAGGGGAAAGGAAGTTCTATAAACAGAAGCACAAAAATGGAGATGGAAACAAACAATCAAACAAAAAGAAACGACCATTTGGATGCAAACATTTCAGTAACCAGCTCAAGATCAGCAATTTAGTAATGGGAAAATGAGAAGGGGAGGTTTGACGGATGAGTGAAAAAATAAAATCTTGACTACTTCCCACAAAATGGAACATATTCCTATGGTGCATTCAGACTGATCTTTCTGGGACGTCTGTTATTCCCTTAGACCTATAGGGTACACAGGAACAGAATAACAGAGTTGGAAGGGACCTTGGAGGTCTTCTAATCCATAGACCCCTGGCCTATACCATGTTAGACAGATGGCTGTCCAGTCTCTTCTTAACCCCCCCCCCCCCAGTGTTGAAGCACCCACAACTTCCGGAAGCAAGTTGTTCCACTGGTCAATTGTTCTCACTGTCAGAAAATTTCTCCTCAGTTGGTCCTCTCCATGATAGCTTCCCACCCATTGCTCCTGGTCTTGCCTTCTGGTGGCTGGGGTCTCTTCTTCCTTCCACACAGCAATAACCCTGTGGGATCAGTTGGAACGAGAGAGGGTGACCGACCTCAAGTCATCCAGGAGGCTTCTTTGGTGGAGAGAGGACTCGATGAAGGCCTCCCTTATTTAGTTGGTCCTTTCCAACCCTAGGATTCTATGTTCCGCCTTCTTATCTTGGTGAAACTCTTTCAGCGTCATGTCTATGCAGTTTCCCAGTCATCCAGGCAGGGGTGGGATTCAAAAATCCCAGCAACCGCTTCACTGCCCAGTTGCTGGGTGGACGTGGCCATGGTGGGTGTGGCCTACCGGAACTCCTGGGAGGGCCGTTTTTCGCCTCCCCCCAGGTCCAGAGGCCCTCCGGAAGCCGGAAACAGGACCACTTCCGGACTTCCAGAACGCCCTTTTTTTGCCCTCCGGAGCCTCCGCGTGGACCCTGCACTTGCCTACATCCAAAACAGGCTTCATGGAGACTCCGGAGAGGGGAGGGGAGGGGTGGGCGGAGCCAGCCGGTCCGTTCAACTACAGGTTCAGCGAACCAGATGTAAATTTCACATCCAGTTCACCCGAACCAGTCCAAACCGGTAGAATCCCACCCCTGCATCCAGGTCATGGTTGTCCCAGATGGGATGTCTTTCAGCTTCCCATTCTGGGTCCTCTATTCTGGTCTGCCCAAAACTCTACTGCAGATTTGGGGTACGAAAGAAGAGGGTCTCTGCAGCAGAGATTAAATCTGTTTCATTGACAGCAGGAAGTGGTTTAAGGAAAAAACCCTGCAGGATATCTTATCTAAGTTGCTCAAGGGCCCAACTCTCTGTCCAAAATGCCAGAGGACCAGATCCTCACTTTCAGACTATCCTTCCATTTATCATGGCATAATAACCATCTGTCCTAACTCACCCTTTTGGCCTGGGCTGAATTTCAACCCTCATAATTCCTCGTCATCGAAGCTAGGAAATATGAGTGCCAGGATCCAGTAAATCTGAAAGGCACTGAGTTTAGGGAAAGTCACTTTTTATAGATCACAACTTACTGTGTCAATCTATGACTGCTGGTATCATAACATATGTTAAGTTTTAGAAGTGCCACAAGCACTTTGGTCACAGTTTCTGCTGCATCAGGTTACTGAGGTTACATCTGTGGGAAAATGCTGGGCATTAAGCCATGATGTCACTGACAACCTTAATTCTCAGTATTTTTTTCTCTGCACATTTTTAAAAGAACAGCTTACTAAGTGGAAATTAACTCCTCCTGCCCACAGAGAACATGCAAGAACACGGATATGGAGCAGGAAGAGGAGAAGGAGAACATGGGAAGCCCCAAGTCACACGTGGGGAATGTTCAGCAGTAAGTCACAAACGTTTGCCCAATTGATTCTCCATGATGAATTTCCACAATGAAAGGGATGACTTAAAGCCGGGGGGGGGGGGGGGGGAAACAGGGTAGGGAAAATGTTCATCGATGTATAGATATATAAGCTACATAATCAATTCATTTATTGAATATTGTATATGGAGGGCAACTCACGGTGAATTTACGCTGGAGAGCGACGAGCTGCGAGATACAGACCCTCGAGTTTGCTTTACAAAACTGCACATGCAAGAAACAGAAGAACACAAAAGTGAGAGGGAAAAAAAAACCTGGGGGGAAATCTATAAGGAGAAAGGGGGGGGGGGGGGGGGGGGGGGGGGGGGGGGGGGCATTGAACAAACTCCAGGACCGAGAAAGTGCAGGCTGGGAACATGCATTTTGGAAGGAGACCATTTTCAGCAAACTTCGGGATAAGCAGAGACATCGTCTGTTAAACCAAAAGGGGAAGAGGAAATAAAGCAAAAAAATTTTTTTTAAACAAATGTTAACTGAAAAACAACAGTTCAAGAGGAGAATCTGGTGTTTCTACACCTTTTTTTCCCTTGCAAACATTGTGTCATCCAAATATCACTCCTTTCAATTCAGAGAATTGTGGGGTCCTTGGTGCTCTCTGAGGTTGGTTGTTCTCTTGCAGATGTTTCATGACCCAACTAGGTAACATCATCAGTGTTAGAAGGGAGTAGGGTTGGGCTCTGTTTTTAGACAAGAAATTCAGAGATAATTCAGAGAACTATCTGGTCTCCACAAGGAGTGGACCTTGGCTGATGCTAGAATGTCACAGTGTTATATACATTTGAAAAAAAAAACTTACTTAATCCCACTTCCTGAAGGAGGTAAATGGAAGGAAGGAAAGAAGATATTTCTAGATCTATGTCATAAATATATCACTTTTTTAGTTTAAAGGACCAGAGTACATTTTGTGGACGGTGTTAGGCAAAGGAAGGGATTAGTATTGTCAAAGCTGCAATGGTGTGTTCAGAGTAAAACTCTAAAGCTGAGGTTCCTTTGAGCTGCCTCTTACTTTATTTTCCTATAAGCAAATTCCACACACGCCCTCCCATATTGTCCAAGCCTTAAAAGCACTAAGTTTTAACAGGTGAAAAATAGGAACAACAGTCAATTCTGCATCTTAATTTCTCATTGAACATTAGCTTATCAGAGAACACTTTGAATGCAGAAAGTGGGAGGGATGAGTTGGTTGGAGAAGGAATGAAGGAAGGAAGGAAGGGGTTGTGGAGAAGAAGGGGGAAGGGAGAGTGGGTGGAAGGAAAGAGTGGAGGGGAAGAGAAGGGAAAGGAAAGGAAAGGAAAGCGAGGGAGGGAGGGAGGGAAAGAGGGAGAAAAGGAGTGAAGGAAGGAAGGAAAGAAGGAAGGGAAGGGAATGTCCAACCCCAGTTATCACTGTGCTATCTTCTTTTAACTAACTAAAGTTTTTGGATCCTCTTTAAAAGCCACCTCAATGCAATGCATTAATCTCATCCCACTGGAGATGGGACCATCGCCCCAACCCAACGCCCTGCCCTGTGAATTAATACGGGACTGTCTAAGGCGAACACGTTTCATGAAGTACAAGATGCAAGCGTTTGGCAAAGAGGAAGGTGGGCACACACACACACACACACACACACAGAGAGAGAGAGAGAGAGAGAGAGAGAGACCAAAGCCACTTTCCAAATGACAGAAAGCCATGGAAGCACTGACTGACAAGGGTGCGTTAGGTTGACAGAAGAAAGCGGCACATGGGAAACTAAAAGGAAGGAACATACAGCAAAGGAAAAAGGATCCATGTGAAAGCAGAGCATTCCCACAAAATGACCAGTGGTCAGGTGAGGAGCAGAAGGTGGTCTAGTTACCATGACTTCCTCCTGAGCAGTAATCAGAATAGCAGAAGAAGAGAGTTGGAAGGGTCCTGGTGGTCTTTTAGTGTTCTGGCCCAGACAGTGAGGAGGTTGGGGAGGAACCTGGGCCAGTCCTGGAGTCTGGGGAAGGCTCTGACGAGGGCTCTGCATCGGACGCAGAGATGGGGCCAGGGTCATCTGACAGCTATCAACTGCCTTAAGGAGTCAGAGATCAGTGAGGCAGAAGAACAGCTGGAGCCTGTTCTCATTGTGCGCATGTGCGGAGCTGCCAGGAGAAGGGAACAGCTAAGGAACAAGGGTCGACTTGGGATTAAAGGCACAGGTGGACAGTGAATGGCCCCTCCCCTACAGTATAAAAGAGGAGGGAAAGGGGGGTGGGGCTTTTCAGGAGACAATGAGTTCATCCCAGCATGCTTGCCAAGTATTGCAGCGTCTGAAAGATATCAGCCTGGCCGCTCTCCAAGCCTGATAAAGATCTGTAAGTGGGAACTAGCATGAAAGACTGTTGGCCGGGACTTTGTTGGAGAGGAAACTCATTGTAAATCAAATAAAAGCAGTTTATCGGGACGAGGACTCAGCTTCGTGCTGTTGGGGGAAGCCGAGGTCAGAACATCTAGTCCAACCCCCTCCTCATGCAGGAGAGCCTATGCCATGTTAGACAGGTGGCTGTCCAGTCTCTTCTTAAAAATCTCCGGCGTTGGACTTCTGGGGTCAACTTCTGTTCCACGGATTAATTGATCTGGGATTATAGGATAACAGAGTAACAGAATTGGAAGGGATCTTTTGCGATCTTCTGATAAGCAAAGCCAGATTTGCTTAACAACCGGGTTCCTAGCTTCCAACTGCACCAATGCGCTTAAGAGTGGTGGCAAGAAAGGTCATAAAATGGGACAAAATTCCCTTAACAAATGTCTCACTTAGCCATAGAAATCTGGAGCTCAATTGTGGTCATAAGCCAAGGATTACCTGTAACTGATTCACAGTGTTTACCTCTGCGTGGAATGCTCAGATCTGAAATGTTTTACACACACACACACACACACACACACACACATCTAACATTTCTGGTGCTCCACAAAACTCTTCAGGTGGCAGCCATGAAAGCTTGTGAGGTCTTCACAAAACCCATCTTAATTTGGGAGTCTCTATCACGGGGTGCTCCCATTTTATCTGGTGGATGACAACACAAACTGACACACAGACAGAGCAGGAAAAAACTGGAAGCCACGGAGCTAGAAGAATGAAGTTAAGAAACTTCCTAGCAGGCCACGAGTAGGAAAGGTGTTGGACCAAAAAAAACTTTGACAAAAGTTGGAGATGATGAAATGGGGATTGAAAGCAGCAGCTCCCAATCTTTGGGGCACCAGAGACCGGTTTCGTGGAGAAGGTTTTTCTGCAGACCGGAGAGCAATAGCAATGGCCCTTAGACTTATATACAGCTTCCCAGTGCTTCACAGCCCTAAGTGGTTTACAGAGTCAGCCTCTTGCCCCCAACAATCTGGGTCCCCATTTGACCTACTTCGGAAGGATGGAAGGCAGAGTCAGCCTTGAGCCTGGTGAGTTTCGAACTGCTGAAGTGCAGGCAGCCAGCAGTCAGCAGAAATAGCCTGCAGTACTGCATTCTAACCACTGCGCCACCACGGCTCAAGGATGTGGTTTTGGGTGCTGCCTGCATCCCATGGATGGGGCTTTGCTTGTTTGCGTGGCCCGGTTCCTGGCATGTTGCGGCCCAGGACCGGCCCACGGGCTGGAGGTTGGGGACCCCAATTCAAAGAAGAAAGGCTGATATATCTAAGATAGGTAAATGCCATCAACTCTTACGCTGTGATAGAAATGTTGGCAGCTGACAGGGGACTGACGTCGGCAACCTCCTTCGCCTTCTGCAAGGCTAGTTTTTGGTTGGTAGCTTCTTCCATTTCTTCTTCATCCTGCAAGGGAGAGCAAGGGTGCAGAGAGAGAGGCTTGATTCGGGTCTGTAGAGATTCTCAACCATCCAGGTCATGGTAGTCCCAAGGGGTCTTTTCCAAAAGGCAACTGGACTTTGTTTTTTTCCTTGAAGACATTTTGCTTCTCATCCAAGAAGCCTCTTCAGTTCTGACTGAATCCTTCCATTCCACATCATTCAGTCAGAACTGAAGAAGCTTCAGTGGATGAGAAGCAAAACCTCTTCAAGAAAAAAAAGAAGTCCAGTTGCCCTTTGTAAAGGCGCCTTTGAGACAACTTGATTCAAATAACCTTCTTGCTTTCTCTTCATTTCTCTTTTTACAAGATAGACATTTTTTATTTCTGAACTGTAGTTAAACCCTTGAGTGATGTCCAGGGGTTATGGATAGGGTTAGGAACTTCCTGAATCTCATCATACTTCCAAACATAGTAAGAAGAAAACTGTTCTTGGTCCCCGTAAGCATGTGGGATTGAATTTCCAGTATCCTTCCCAGCTCTACAACATTCTTTTTCAGCTGCCATTAAAGTCCATAACCTCTGGATATTACCTAGTTGCCAGAGATAAATCCCACTAAATTCTAACAGGAGCTGAGGATGCTTGTAAAACATTGAAATAACATTTGTTGCTCAGGGTTGAACTGTGGGGTCCTTGGTGCTCTCTGAGCTTGGTTGTTTGCTTGAAGACCTTTCATGACCCAACTAGGTAATCATCAGTGCTAGAATGGAAAAAGCAAACTCCAGTCTCTTTTGGCACTGATGATGTTGCCTAGTTGGGTCAGGAAAGGTCTTCAAGAAAACAACCAAGCTCAGAGAGCATGAAGGACCCTAATCTGTCAGGAATTCAAGGCCATTTAATCAAAGGAATAACCTACTTCCTTCTCAAAGGATTACACAATTATCTCTCTCCCTGTCTCTCTCTCTCTCTCCCCCTCCCTTCCTCCCCCCCTCTCTCTTACTCACCTTGGTCAATTCTTGTGCGTTGGCCAGGTTGTCTACAGCAATGGCCAAGAAGACATTCAGGAGGGTATCTGATTCAGCAGTTAAGGATCTCATGAAGAACGTGACTCTCCTTGTGCTAAATCAAAGAGAAGAGGTGCCGTTTCTTCCCAAACAAATCAGAAGGTAGCAAAATATAAGATACCTGCATTTGGCTGCATTAGAAAATAAAATAAAAAAGACAGGAGGCGAGAAGATCCATCAGAACAGACAGCATCGTGCACTTTTAATTCTCTTCTAAACGCTTCGCCTCGGCTGTCTCAGTCCAGCATGAAATGTCTAGTTAAGAACTTGTCACTCCTGCTCTCCTGAATATTCTTTTGCCTGTGGCTACATGCTCGGTGTGTATCTTACTGACATTCCTCTTTTTCTTGGTAGCGCTTCGCTATGTTAAGCTTGCCCACTGACATTAGGTGCTAAACACGGCTGCATGGAAGCTTTGTCAAGCAGCCAACTCAAAATCTTATTCTCCAGAGACTCTTTTAACTTTTTTTTTTTTTTTGGGGGGGGGGGGGGGGGGGGGGGGGGTTGAACAGATAATGATGAGAAATATCCAGAAAAGGTTTTGGGGATAAGTGAAGGGAAAAAGTCTTCTGTCAGCCTTGTGAATTGGGAACAGCAAGTGAAATTTAAAGGAAAATTCGGCACCAAGGGATAACAGCACGAACGGATGGTTGAAAAATAGGCGTGGAGAGTCATCTGATTAAATCTTGATTAAAAGAAGGAAGAAAAACCCCAACCCTTCCAGCTACAACTAGCGTCCGATATAGAATTGGGGTATTTTTAGAAGGTGAAATCTTAGATGAGAAGAGTTTATTTTAATAAGTATTGCAAGTCACATTACTTTAGCACTTATAAAGCAAAGCCTGTAGAGGAGCAGCCAGAGCTGGGAGCGGAGTTAAGTGTGTTATCAGAATCATTACGCTACCACAAATGGTTCACGACCAACCACTTTTGAATTCTGTTAACTGTTATCTGGCGCCTATTTAGTATTAGTAATACTAGTAGATTAGTCATCTAATATAAAGCCACAAGTTTGCAAAATTCCCTCTTTGGGGGGGGGGGGGTTTGCTGCCTCAGAACCCTTCAGACTGACCTCATTGGGCTACCAACCACAGCTCATACAAATGATGGACAGTATTTCCCCCAGGTATTTCTAGAAAAACCCACCAACAGGAGTAACTGTTAATGTAACAGTCTACGTTAGGTTGCGTAGGCTGCAATTCAAGCGCTGTTGCTTTCCAACTACAGAATTATTATTTAATTTGCATCCTGTCTTTATTATTTTTACAAATAACTCCAACACACTTTCCTCCTCTTATTTTCTCCACAACAGCAACCCTGTGAGGTGGGTTGGGCTGAGAATGACAGACTGGACCAAAGTTACCCAACCGGCTTTCATGCTTAAGGTGGGACTAGAACTCCTAGTCTCCTGGTGATTAGCCCAAAGTCACCTTGCCGATTTTCATGGCTGAGGCAGAACTAGAACTCACCGCCTCCTGCTTTCTAGCCTGGGGCCTTCACCATCAGACCAAACTGGCTTTCTGTCAGTTAATGAATTACTAATGAAGCAGGTCTAATCCAAAGCTATAAGTATCCACGACCGTGCAGAGTAAACCCAGGAACATCAGAAGCGCATCAGAAGACGTGTGCTGGATTATGACAAAGGGCTTTCTTAATTTCATTCATTTAATATCGTTATCCACTCCAGAGGATGCTGAGCGGTTTACATAACCCATAAAAAAAATTAAACCATTAAAATCCGCCCAAATGGGCAGCTCAGACTAAGATAACTAGAAGAATAATCAGTGGGGGGAAGGAGGGGAAACACAATACAGCAGAAGCATCCAATGAGTCACATCCACATTAACACCAAATCTGGGAACTATTCCAGGTCTTGTCCACCTCTTAAGCGAAAAGGGAATAGATACAGTATTTTTGCTGGGCCTGAGTCAGGGGAAGGAAGGAGGGAGGGAGGGAGGGAGGGGGACAGACGTCTCCCATTGTCCATGGCTGGAAGGTTGCTCGGCTGCCTATTTGAGACAGACTCTCAGGCACAGAAGCTCAGTTCTGGAATCCACCCAAAAGGATTGTTTTAAACACCTCACAGACACGCTCCCTTCCTCCCCATTTCAAAGACACTACAGGTAATCCTCGAATTACGACCACAACGGAGCCCAACATTTCTGTTGATCAGCGAGACATGTGTTGGGGGAGGTTTGCCCCATTTTACGAGCTTTCTTGCCACAGTTGTTAAGTGGATCACTGCAGTGGTTAAATGAGTCACATGGTTGTTAAGTGAATCCTGCTTCCCTGTTGACTTGGCTCATCAGACGGCTGCAAAAGGGGACCACGTGACCCCCCAGGAGATGTTGCAACCATCATAAATACGAGTCAATTTGCAACGGTCATAAGTGTGAAAAACGGTCCTGGGTCCCTTTTTCCCCCAGTGCCATCGTAACTTTGAAGGGTCACTAAGTGAACTGTTGTGAGGCGAGGATTACCTGCAATGTTTCCTGAATGTTCCATGAAATCGAGATCGGATTCGTTCACGAAGGAAAAGAACACCCGGCTGGGCTTGGGATGAAAACCCCCATTTGCTTTCAGGAGCTAAAGAGCCTAATTTAAAAAAAAAATAAAAATAGAAGAAGAAGAAGCAACCACCACCGAGAAGCAAAGAAAGAATCTCATCTCAGAGCCAATCAATAACTTTTGCTAATGGCTTCCCGGTAACTTCCCTTCCGCTTGCTGCCCATTAAAGATATGAGCTGCCTTGCTGAAGGTCTGAAACGACGGGCGCCTTCTGGCAAAGCAGCAACATCCAACCGCCGTTAGCAAGCCAGGCTCCCGCAGGGCAAGGATACAGTTCCCGAAGAGGGTGAGGACGATGAAGTAGACCGAAGAGAACATTCCAGAATGGACACCCCCTTGGGATTCGATGCCCTGGTACATCACGGCATTCCAGTCTTCCCCGGTCAGGATCTGGAAAGGCATTGAGCATTGAGGGAAGGAAAGGGGGCTGTGAAAGAAACGTAGAAGCCTCTTTTCTCCGAGAACATTCGGGAAGAATGCGGTGGGATCACCACTTCCTGACCTCATTGGACAGAGTCAGAATAACGGAGTTGGAAGGGAGCTTGAAGCTTTCAAGAAGAGACTGGACTGTCATTTGTCAGAAATGGTGTAGGGGTGGGGTCTTCAAACTTGACAGCTTGAAGACTTGTGGACTTCACCTCCCAGAAT